TGTATACAACCAATGATCTAAATTGTTATGATCTCTCAAGAGTCACTTAATTTCATGTGTATTGCCCTTTGTAAAGTGTCTATACCTTGTGGAGTATTTATAGAAGCCAAATCACGAAGTTATGGATGAAGTAGGAGTCCAAAATCACGTCAGAAACCAAAATCGAGTGAAATTCCTCCGCGGCGGTAGCGCTCCTAGTGCTTAGGCGCTACCAACCTAGCGCTTAGGCATTAGGTTGCTGTCTAATTTTCCCCTTCGCGTTTTTCTTTCCCTTTTGCTTTCGGCTCCATCCTAGTGTTTCCAAAACATCTCTTTCTTCCATCCAAGTAGTCCTTAACTCAATCAAACTCCCATCAAACTCCAAAAACACGATAATAGTTGATTCCTAATCAAACCAAACTTCTAAACCAAAATTAATCAAGCTTCCTACATACAAACTCCTAAATCACAAAGAATTTTTGTCACAAATCCTAACAATATTCGAAGTAACAACTCAATTTTTCTCAATTCTACATTAATGAAAGCCTTTCATTTGCTTTTCTTTTACACGGGTTTGAATTTTGTAATTGGGGTTCCCGACTTAATGATGTTATTGCATCAAACTTTTTTGGCGTTTAAATTTCCCTTAGGTTTTCATTCATCTAGTTAAAAAAAAAAAAATCAACAAAAATTAGAGTGACACAAATTCGATTAAAAATATACTTTTTATTTTTTGCAATAACGGCAAAAATGTCTTAATGTCCTCCATTTCTAGAAAGGTATGAATCCCACACCATGTTGGATAATAATAGTGCACAAATTCAGCATATACTGTGCTAACCTCCTAACAACATCTTCTATCATTTTATCAAACTAATTCAGAATTTTTTGTGGCAATCCCTTCGCGGGGAAAAAGTAAGTCTTCACTTGATCGATGCGAACACCTGTTTTCTTACAACTAAGCAAGTTCTCCACATTTTCCATGGAAAACTCTACATAACTTTTTGCTGTTCTCCCGGACCTTCCGCTAATGCAACTTCACGTTCCTCACGCCAATGTTCTCTCTGATAGATCACAAATATCAGGTAGTTACAAAATGAGCATAAATAAATATAGGCCAAAAAGTATCCATTGATCGAGCAATACCAGAAAAACAGATGCAACAAATCAAATGATACATGTATACACTGAAAACAAAAATACTAACTGATGCCAGAATAAAGTTCAAATTAATTTACTTGTCGCCCATTTATACAGAAAAGATGAGCATGGGTATAAATAAAAGTTCAGCATGAATCCCCAGCTCTCAAGTAAAGGTGAGGATCGTCACAAGTTGTCAGTGGACGAGATAGAAACGAGTCAAATGCTATAAGCTGTATCAGAAGGGTCTAGCTAAAGATACCCAAGGAAGCAACGTGACTAGTTATTTAGACTTGAATTATCATTCATCTTTACTACAAAAGGGTTTTGAATTTAGCTAAGCTAGAGTGGAACTGCTTAACTTCTCTATTAGTGGATAAGTTAGAACAAGAAACTGACAAAATGAAGCTAAAACTGCCATCTTCCTCACAATAACTCTTAACAATGGCTCCTTAGATGTCAATTCTATGAAATTGAAAACCATCAGATCAAGAAGCTGTAGCTTCCATTTTCATATGATGCAGTAAGATATATTGAGAAACCTTCGA